GGGAAGAGGATCCATTATTAATCACTGTTTATGAATAAAGGAAACTGAGGCTCAGAGAGGCTAGGTCACTTGCTTGAGGTCAACCAATCATAAGTGGCAGAGCCAGGACTGGACCCCTGGACTGCCTGACCCCAAAGCCTGTGCTCTTAACCACCAGGCAGCACTGCTACCTTGGTAGACAATAGTACCAGAAAGAGACGCCATTCAAAATCACAATGAAAATACAAAACACCATAATGAGTGAATAAGACCTACAAAAAAGACCCTAAAGCTTTACAGAAGAACATCAAGGTGCCTTATATGGGGAAAAGCCCTGCTCCTGCGTAGGAGAGTTCAACACAGTGAAAAGGCCAATTTCCCCCTAAGTGAATTTGTAACAACAGACAGGTCATTACGATGGGCCAAGGTCTGGGTGGGTGCTTTACACTCTCTTTAAACAGGTCTATGAAGCAAGTGTAGACATCATTAGCCCCATTTCACAGGTCCAGGGAGGTTAGACTCTTTGCCCTCGGCTCCTGGCAAGAAAGGGTAGAGCTAGGATTCAAGCCCAGTTCTGGTGGCCAATGGGCCAGGACGTACACATTCTCTGAGAGAGGAACAGATGTCCTTCCAGGTCTCTTCTGCAACAGATTGCACTGAGAATTTTACCTGTGGGTTGGGAGGGAGCTGTGCTTGGGAGTGGGGTGGAGGTGGAGATCGCCACCATCAGGAGTGTGGAGAGGACCCTGTCCTGTGGGTACTCACAGCTGGGGTACAACCATCTCATCATAGGCAGAGCTCACTCCAGCAGTGCAGCAGCTGCCCGGCCACGGCAGCCAACAACTGGCATCTCCTGGGTAGAGAGCAATGGTCCCACCTCTCAAACAGGGCCCAGCAGGAAGCTCTGAGCACGCACCCTGCATTCCATGCTGTGCAAATCAGGGTCACATTTTCACTTAACAAACAAGCAACTGGATCTCTAGCCAATGGGAGGATTTCTACTCCAGTGCCGAGAATATTAATTTGACACCTGCAAATTCTTTCTGACAAAAGGGATTTTCAGATAATGTCAGCAAGGAGCAGGCAATATGGAGGAAACAGCCAATTGTCCTGAATAACGGAAAAGCACAGACAACAGAGGACGCCAGCAGGGTGGGGACTCTGAGCTGTCACTCAGGTTGGACTGAGGAACCACAGACACAAGATGCCTCAGCGACCCCATGCCAATGGGACTGAGCAATGAGGTGGTGGAGATGGAGTGGGATCTCCGAGGCTCTGCCTTCCTGCACCAGCTCTAGTGCCATCAGCACCTAAGTACACCCTGTCCCCCCAGGCCAGTGGCTGTCAGCAAGAGGGAGGGGTTTGTGGGTTTATCACAGTCGTACTGGGAGGGAAAGAC